GGCATGGGTGGGGCACCTGGCCTGCAGCAAGGTGGGTGTGGCATGGGCGTGGCATGGGTGGGGTATGGGCAGGGCAGGGTGGGGCATGGGCAGGGCATCGGGCGTGGCATGGGGGCATGTATCTCATCCCAGGATCCCATCCCAAATCCCACCCCATATCTCATCCTAATCCCAATCCAAAATCCCGCCCCAAAATCCCATTCCCAAATCCTGTCCCAAATCCCATCCCGGATCCCATCCCAAAATCTCTTCCCAGGTTCATATCCCAAATCCCATTCCCAAATCCCATCCCAGAATCCCATCCCAAATCTCACCCCCGAATCCCATCCCTGAATCAAATCCCAAATCCCGTTCTGGAATCCTCTCCTGGAATCCCGTATGGGAATCCCATTCTGAATCCAATCCCAAATCCTGCCCCAAATCCTATCCCAAATACCATCCCAGGATCCTATCCCCAAATCCCATCCCAGGATCTCGTCCCAAATCCCATCCCAAATCCCATCCCAAATCCTGCCCCAAATCCCATCCCAAATCCCATCCCAAATCCCATCCCAAATCCCATCCCAAATCCCACCCCAAATCCCACCCCAAATCCCGTCCCGCTCCAATTGGGGATCTCCCGACCCCAAAATCCCCCATTTTTCCCTTACAGGGCCATGAAAAGTGTGCCTTGTTGATCCTGGGGGAAACCCAAGACCTCGGCCTTATCAATGCAAGCAACAGCGCGCTGCAGATGTGAGTGCACAGCTGGATTGGGGCAAAAAACAGGAAAATTGGGAAAAATGGGGAAAAACGGGAAAAAAACGGGAAAAAAACGGGAAAAAAATGGGGAAAATTGGAAAAAAATTGGGGAAAAAATGGAAAAAACACGGGGAAAGTGGGATAACTGGGAAAATTGGGGGAAATGTATTTATTTGGGATTTGGGATGGGATTGTGGGGTGGGATTTGGGGATTTGGGATGGGATTCTGTGATTTGGGATGAGATTCGGGGATTTGGGGATTAGGGCTGGGATTTGGGATTTGTGGTGGGAATTTGGGATGGGATTTGGGATTTAGGATGGACTTAGGATGGATTTAGGATGGATTTAGGATGGATTTAGGATCGATCCCATATCCCCAGGCCCCTGCACATCGCAGCACAGAACGGGCTGGCCGCTGTGGGGTTTGGGATGGATTTGGGGTGGGATTTTGGGATTCAGGATGTATTTAGGATGTATTTAGGATGTATTTAGGATTGATCCCCAGGCCCCTGCACATCGCGGCGCGGAACGGGCTGGCCGCTGTGGGGTTTAGGATGGGATTTGGGGATTTGGGATGTATTTAGGATTGATTTGGGATCAATCCCCAGGCCCCTGCACATCGCAGCACGGAACGGGCTGGCCGCTGTGGTGCAGGCGCTGCTGAGCCGCGGCGCCACCGTGCTCGCTGTGGATGAAGAAGGTTCGTGACCCCGGCGGGGATTTGGGATCGCCCCCAGCACACCCCACCCCACCCCCGATCTGAAACCCTACAATGCTCCAATCCCCCAATCTCCTGATCCCAACCCCATCCCATCATCCCCATCCCAAATCCTACAATCCCCCAGGCCCAAATCCCTGACCCCATAACCCCCCAAATCCCAATCCGAAATCCTTCATCCCATAATTTCGCCCATTTCTCCCCCATTTCAGGCCACACCCTGGCGCTGGCCTGCACCCCAATCCCAAATCCCTGACCCCATAACTCCCCAAAATCCCAGTCCCCTGACCCCAATCCCAAATCCCTGACCCCACATTTCCCCTATTCCAGGCCACACCCCTGCTCTGGCCTGCACCCCTGACCCTATAACCCTGCAATCCCCAATCCCCTGACCCCAATCCCCAATCCCAAATCCCTGACCCCATAACCCCCAATCCGAAATCCCAAATCCCTGACTCCATAACCCCCCAAAACCCAAATCCCTGACCCCATAACCCCCAATCCCAAATCCCATAACCCCATAATTTCCCCCACAATTCCCCCATTTCCCAGACCACACCCCAGCACTGGCCTGCACTCCTATCCCAAATCCCTGACCCCATAACCCCTAACCCCATAATTTCCCGACCCCATAACCCATTTTTTCCCCAGGCCACACCCCGGCTCTGGTGTGCGCCCCTGACTCCAATCCTATCTCAATCCCCAATCCCCTGACCCCAATCCCAAATCCCAAACTCCATAATTTCCCAGATTTCCCCTATTTCCCGTATTTCCAGGCCACACCCCGGCGCTGGCCTGCGCCCCTGACCCCATAACCCCCCAAATCCCAATCCCCTGACCCCAATCCCAAATCCCTGACCCCACAATTCCCCCATTTCAGGCCACACGCCGGCCCTGGCGTGCGCCCCCAACAAGGACGTTGCCGACTGCCTGGCTCTCATCCTGTCCACCATGAAGCCTTTCCCGCCCAAGGACGCGCTCGGCTCCTTCAGCTTCAGCCTCCTCAACAACTGCGCCATCGCCGCCAAATCCGCCCCGGGCGGCGCCTGCGCCTACTCGCCCGAGCGCCACCGCCACCACCACCACCACGGCGCGCTGGGCTACTCCGAGTRAMCSCGGAGTAACCCTGGAGTAACCSTGGAGTRRCCCCGGAGTAACCCTGGAGTAACCCTGGAGCAGCCAAATCCGCCCCGGGCGGCGCCTGCGCCTACTCGCCCGAGCGCCACCGCCACCACCACCACCACGGAGCGCTGGGCTACTCCGAGTAAACCCGGAGTGACCCTGGAGTAACCCTGGAGCAGCCAAATCCGCCCCGGGCGGCGCCTGCGCCTACTCGCCCGAGCGCCACCGCCACCACCACCACCACGGAGCGCTGGGCTACTCCGAGTAAACCCGGAGTGACCCTGGAGTAACCCTGGAGCAGCCAAATCCGCCCCGGGCGGCGCCTGCGCCTACTCGCCCGAGCGCCACCGCCACCACCACCACCACGGAGCGCTGGGCTACTCCGAGTGACCGCGGAGTAACCCTGGAGTAACCGTGGAGTGACCCCGGAGTAACCCTGGAGTAACCCTGGAGCAGCCAAATCCGCCCCGGGCGGCGCCTGCGCCTACTCGCCCGAGCGCCACCGCCACCACCACCACCACGGAGCGCTGGGCTACTCCGAGTGACCGCGGAGTAACCCTGGAGTAAACCCGGAGTAACCCTGGAGTAACCGTGGAGTAGCCCCGGAGTGACCGCCGCGCAGCTCGGAGTAACCCCGGAGTGACCCCGGAGTAACCGCCAGGACGCCCGGAGTAACCCCGGAGTAACCCTGGAGTAACCCTGGAGTGACCGCCACGCTGCTCGGAGTAACCCCGGAGTAACCCTGGAGTGACCGCCACGCTGCTCGGAGTAACCCCAGAGTAACCGCCGTGCCGCTCAGAGTAACCCCGGAGTAACCGCCAGGACGCCCGGAGTAACCCTGGAGTAGCCCCCGCGCCGCTCGGAGCAGCCCCCAGGTCACTCGGAGTAGCCCCGGAGTCGGCTCGGAGTAGCCCCGGAGTAGCCCCTGCGCCGCTCGGAGTAACCCCGGAGTATCCCCGGAGAAGCCCCGGAGTAACCCCGGAGTAGCCCCCACGCCGCTGGAGTAACCCTGGAGTAACCCCCGCGCCTCTTGGAGTAACCCCGGAGTAGCCACCAGGTCGCTCGGAGTAGCCCCCGCGCCACTCGGAGTGACCCCGGAGTAACCCCCGTGCTGCTCGGAGTAACCCTGGAGTAACCCCGGAGTAACCGCCGCACCGCTCGGAGTAACCCCGGAGTAGCCCCCGCGCTGCTCGGAGCAGCCCACAGGTCACTTGGAGTAACCCTGGAGTAACCCCGGAGTAGCCCCACGCCGCTCGGAGTAACCCCGGAGTAACCCCCGCGCCGCTCGGAGTAGCCTCAGAGTAACGCCCAGGACACTCTGAATAACCGTGGAGTAGCCCCCGCGCCGCTTGGAGTAACCCCGGAGTAACCCCCACGCCACTCGGAGTAACCCCGGAGTAACCCCGGAGTAGCCCCCGCGCCGCTCAGAGCAGCCCCCAGGCCACTCGGAGTATCCCCGGAGTAACCCCGGAGTATCCCCGGAGTAGCCCCGAGCCCGGCCGGTACGTTATTTATTGAGCAAATCCTACAGGAAAATCGGGCACTTTAAAGGAGAACAAGACCGGGGTGGAGAGAGGAGACCCCGAGAGTTTGGGGTTTTTTATGGGGTTGATTTGGGGAGGATTTGGGGA